GAAGATGAAGACCAGAGCTAACAGAAGAAAAGTGGGAACCCAGTTCGGAAGCGACCTGCAACGGGTCCGCCACAAGAGTATCATGGAGGTGAAGGACCGGTGAAACATCGGGAACGAACTTACCCGCTATCTTGCGGATACGCTTCCAGATCTGGGCCAGAGGGGTCTCGGACGTAATTGTTGAGACATAAGATGCCCAACATTCACGTTTAGCCGTACGGATGGTCCTACGGGCCACCGCACTCGCTTTCCGAAAGAAAAGAAAAGAATCGGTCGTCTGCCTACGGCGGTGCCTCTTCCAGGCTGCTCGCTTACAGCGGAGAGCCCGAGCACAGTCCGCATTCCACCAGGGAACGCACTTCTGTGGACCCCGAGAGGAAGAGCGAGGAATAGAGCGGAGGGCAGCGTTGAAGACAGCGTCATGAAAAAGGAGGAGAGCGCGAGAGAGAGGCAGAAGGGAGAGGTCAGAGAGAGCAGCACTGAGGGTAAATAGGGTCCAGTCTGCCTGAGCAAACTGCCACCTAGGGAAAGAGAGGGAAGGGCGAAAAGAGAAAAAGGAAACAAGGATGGGGAAATGATCACTTCCATGGAGGTCATCAAGAACCTGCCACGTGAAATCTAAGTAAAGAGAAGAAGAGCAGAGAGAAAGATCAAGACAAGAAAGGGTGCGAGTCCAAGAGTCCAAATGAGTGGGCTCACCAGAATTCAGAAGAGACAGGGAAGAAGAGAGGAGAAACGGCTCAAGGAGGCTACCCCGGGTATTCGTCAGAACGTCACCCCAAAGAGAATGACGACAATTGAAGTCACCCAGCAGGAGCACAGGCTCCGGCAAGGAGTCTAGGAGGTGTTTCAAATCAGGAAGAGAGAGCGGGACACTCGGGGGGAGATAAATGGAACAAACTGTGTACCATTTCCCCCCAAAGATACGAGCAGCAGAACAATGGAGAGGCGAAGGAAAAAGTAAAGGAACAAAGGGAACATCAGCCCGAATCAAGAGAGCAGAAGAATTAGAAGCCCCAGCAATGGCTGGGGGAAGGGGGGAGAGAAAGGAATAGCCACGAAAACGACCAGGACGAGCACCAAGCATTGGCTCCTGGAGACAGACACAAAGGGGCGAAAACCGCGAAATCAGAAGTTGGAGTTCGAGGAAATTGGCGTAATAACCTCAAACGTTCCATTGAAGACTGGACAACGACGAGAAGAGAAAGGACAAAAACAGAGAACAAGGAAGAAACAAAGGCGAAAGAGCAACAGAGCACGTTAAAGAATATCAGGGTCGGGATCAGGGTCAGCAAAGTCAGGGTTCGGGGGCATGGGTAAACTGAGCAAAGACAGAGGGAAGGAAACGGGAGAACAGATCAGAGGTGGGCGGGCAGGGTCCGGAGGAGGAGGAAGAGGAGGAGGAGGAGGAGGAGGAAGAGGAGGAGACAACGGAGAGGAGCAGTCAAGGACAGCAGCAGGAGGAGGGGGAGTAGAAAGAGGGGAGCGCACCCCAGCAAGAGCAGCAACCGAAAGGGAAGCAGGGGCCAAAGAAACCTCCATAGCAGGAACAGGGGGCGCAAGCACTGAAACGGGAGGGGAAGAAGCAACAGAGCCAGAAGGAGGAGCTGAGGAAGAAAGCGAAGCTTTCTTACCCGCCGGGGAAGAGGAAGGAGAGGAGCCAGGCTTACGCTTCTGACTTAAAGAGACCAGTGTCCCAGCAACTACGTACCGGGCAACGGATTCCAGTGTCTCAACAGGAGAAGCCGAACGAGAGCACACACGACGGCCGTTAGGAGAGCGATGGACATCCGCCCGCACCGACAGGCAGTGGGGAGAGCCGATAGATGGAGGAAGAGGATGGGAAGGAGGATCGGAGGGGGACGAGGAAGAAGACACAGAAGACACGACAGACCGGGTAGAAGGAAGGGGAACCCCAGACAGAGGACCAGGAGGAGGATCCTTCGGGAGAGAACCCAAAGGAACAGAGGAGGGGGCAGTGGGCGTATCAGGGTCCAAGGCCCGGAAACGGTTGCGAGTCTGAGGAAGGGGGGAAGGACGAGGAGAGGAAGAGCGCAACACGCGAGCATAAGAGATAGTAGCATAAGGCGGGAGCCGGCGAACCTGGCGCCTCGCCTCAGGAAAAGATAAACGCTCCCGGTGCTTCAGGTTGAGGACGGCTGCCTCAAGCTTGTAATGGACACACGCACGGGAGAAGGTAGGATTGGCCTCACCGCAGTTGAGGCAACGAGCCTGGGGAGAAGCGCACTCCGACTTAGAGTGACCTTCGCCACCACACAAAGGACAGAGAGAGTGAGTCCCGGAGCAGCGGAGGGCACCATGCCCAAACCTCCAGCACTTGTTGCAGAGCCGAGGAGAAGGAATGTACTCCTGGACAGAGCACCTGGCACCAGCAAGAATGACAGAGGGTGGAAGGATCCTACCATCAAAGGTAATCTTCACAACCCGGAGGGGTTGACGGCGACTACCACGAGGGGGACGAGTAAACGTGTCCACCTGGAGAATAGAATGGCCCTGGGCAGCGAGGATATGTCGAATATCGTCGTGGCAGTCGCGCAGGTCCCGAACACCGGTCGCAACATGGGGCGGGAGCAAAATAGTGCCAACACTGGCATTCAACTGAGCGTTCTTCGAGACCCGAACGGGGGTCTCGCCAAGGCAGGATAAGGCAGCCAAGCGGGAAGCAGCATCCTGAGAAGGAGCAGCAACGACACGTGTACCGAGACGAGTGGGATTGAAAGTAATGGAGACATCCACGGAATCAATGAGATGTCGATGGAGGGAGAAATCGTCAGGAGGCGCAGAATCAAGAGGGAGGAGATCAAAATATTTGGCCCACGAAGCGGGACCAAACAAGGCTTGATAGGTAGCAGAACTAGAAGGAATCGAGCGAGGGCGGCCGTGACGAGGACGGCGGTGAGAACCCCCAGAGAGAGAGGGGTTAAAAGGTGCAGTAGTTACAACCAGAGAAGGAGCCGCGCCAGGGGACGAGGTAGTCACCACTGGGGACTTGGGGCTCGACCCAACCACAGAGGAGGGAGGGGAGCCAGGGGAAGGAGTCAGAGAGGCCAAAGGAGGAGCAAGGTCGGGGCCCAATGCAGCGGAGGCTACAGAGCCCGGTCTTCCAATACGGACCGACTCGGGGGCTTGGTCGCCCACCCCACGAGCCTGAGAAGGTAAGCCAGAAGCAGCCGAAACAGGGGTTATCATCTTGACGAAAAGAAGAATTCATTCACGAATGTGCCCCACACCCACCATGGAGCCACAATTAGAGGCAGGACACCCAACAAGAAGCAATCGCCGATCTTGTCGGGGCCTCCTAGGGGTGCGTCGTGAGTATACGCCCCACAAACGCCACCTTAAGAAACCGACAGTCCATCGAGATCGGGTTCAGTGACGAAGTGGGGATTGACAATAAAAGGTTCCCCTTGCTCTCGACGTCGGGTACTGCAGTTCTACGGGTGCATGAGTATGCCTCCTCAAGCACCCGGGCGTCAAAATAGAAGAAGTCCAAGGGAAGAACCAGAACGAGCAAAAGGTCGGCAGGAAACGGCAAGCAGATAGGAGAAGAGGGGGGAGAAAAACGAAACAGAAGGAAAAGGAAAAGGTGCCCAGCAGAATTGGAGAGGACGGCAGCAGGAGCACAAGGCTAGAAAAGGACAGAGGACTGTCCCAAAAAGCATCACACTCCGGCAGCCGCCCACGAAGCCCCCACACGGCGACAACGAGCTGAGCGGGAAGGGGGGCCAGGCTCTCAAACTCTAGCTCTTTGATCATCTTCGGACTTGCAATTCAAACTTAAAATCTCACAAGTTTAATCATTTTTAGGTACCTTTTCTTCTAAATTCTGAATTTAATCCATCAGATTTATTATACAGTAACAGAAAATTTCAAACTCACTCACATTCTTTTACAGCCTTCTTCATCTTTGTCATGCAGTACAGGTTGATCTAGCCAATGTTTGAGTGACACTAACTGATCATGCACCCAGGTACTGCTTCAATCTCCACAACCTGCAGCCAACCAGCAGTTTGCTCCATTTGTTTTTAGTCTTCTGTTTTACATTAATTTTTTACAGTTTTACTTCTTGGAATTGTTATGTAATATTACTGGAATACCACTTGTATACCCCCTGAATGTATTTTTATATAATGCTTGCTTGCATTTACCTTGGTAGAATAATCTCAGTGCCATTGATGTATGTGTACATATTTTATGAAAATAAATTTTCAGTTGTCCAAACAACTTTTACAAATTTGAAATCAAGCAAAACGATACTGTATATTAATTTATTATTAATTTTTTATTTATTTATATATATACAGTACAAGAGTTCTTACATTCTTATACAGCCACTAGCATGCATAGCATTTCGGGCTAGCCCTTAATCCTAATTTTCCCTGGAATACGACCTGCCAAATCTTTTAACAACCAGGTACCCATTCACTGCTGGGTGAACAGAGGCTACAGTTAAAGATTGGCGTCCAGTAAATCCTCCCCGACCAGAATACGAACCCAGGCCAAATAAGAGCTCATGAAGTGCCGGGGGCGTGTTATATCACTGCACCACAGAGGACTGTTAAATTATTGTATTGTACTGTATACTGTATTGTATTGTCATCTCAGAAAATTATTCTTGAATTTGTGATTTATACTAGTTGTATTGTTTATTTTATTTTTACTACAACATTGATGATAATACTTAATAGTACTTGATAATTATACAATTAAAGCTTCTAGTTTTTAAATATGTATATTAGATATGCTGAATTTAAATAAAGAATAATGTCATATCTCTATGTGTACAATATATGCTTTAAAGAAACTTAAGAAAACAAAGCAACAACTGAATATAATTTAAAGTATTTAATCGTGTGAGCATTACTGTACAGTAAAGCAACCAAATATAAAATATTTGTTTATGTTTGCATTATACACCAACCATGTCTCCAAAAATTATGTACACAGTTGTTAAATCAGTTGTTTGTTCACTTCACCAGGCCACTCTCTGCTCCTGGTCATTTGCCGCTAGTTCCCCGTCTGGTTCTACCAAACCAATCTACCCACACCCAGACTGACACACCACCTGCCTCTGCTCAGTCTCAGACCCCAAAGTCAAGTATCCCTCGCCCAGCTAAGCCTACTCCACCTCCAAAACCTGCCTCCATACGAAGAGCTGTTTCTAACCTAACACGACGTCCTACCAGCATTCCTTGCAAGTCAAGGTTAGTAACTAGGGACTGTACTGAATGCAAGTGCTGTACAGTACTTAATTTTTTGCCAATTTACATTTCAGGATCAACATTAACCAGTATTTTCCTAACTCTACTCATAACAAATTTCCTTTGTAGCTATAATGTTAATAACTTTAATAATGTTTTTGCTAAAATAACATGAAAATTATTTAGGCAAAATAATGCAGTATATGTTCAATACATATACTGTACATATCTTCTGCCAAATCTCCATATGAGCTCTTATTCATAAGAGTCAAAAAGATTGCCAATACTTTATGCAAAAGAAACCCTTAAATCTAGTTTAAACCTGTGTCCAGCTATTCTAATGTGTACATGAATGAATACTGTATGCTGTACATACATAGCCTACAGTTAAACTTATTTAAATAATCATACATGTCCCTTCATTCCCACTGACATTTTTTAATTATATAATTTTATTGCTCCACCAATCAAATATAGGTTAGCTAATTAATAACCATTTTATACGGTATAATTTGACTGTTTACTAGTATGTGTACTGTATTTAAGAAACTATAAATACCTTTAAATTAATATTTCTAAATATATATATTACAGAGGATGGTCTGGTGCCAAGACAACACCTACTACTCCTGTAACGACTCCAACACACTCTGCTAAACCACGGCTCCCTTCAGCTCGAACACCAAGATCTTCTGGTCGCTCTACACCCAACACTACACCAACCACACCTACTCATTGCAAGTATTCTTCAAGACAATAATTAGAGATGAGAATAATTTGATTCTACAGAACATAAATTGTTGTATGTGATATACAACAGCATGTGCAGCACTTCAAGCAAGCTAACTATGCAGTGCCACTATATATACTTTTATTAATACAGTAATAATAATAATTTATAATATTTCATTGTGTTGGGGACAGGCAGCCAGTGTGTATTCATACACGTAAGGCTTATATTGAGGTCCCCACCCCCCAATGATCGAATTAATGACCTCCCCAGGATGCAACCCCACAACAAGCTGACTAACTCCTGAGTACCTACTAACTGGTAGATGAATTGGGGCATTAGGCGGTAGGAAATGCGCTGAATCATTTCTGTCCTGCCTGGGATTCGAACCCGGACTTCTCGATTGTGCATCGAGAACGAACACGACTGTATTACGAGAACCCCCTAAAATAATAATTGAATGGTTCAATTATCTTTACATAAAATACACATACAGTGGCCTCACCATTTACGAATTTAATCCGTTCCCAGAGACGGTTCGTAACCCGAAAATTCACAACCCGAAATGAATTTTCCCGTAAGAAATAATGTAAATTGAAAAATCCGTTCCACACACCAAAAAATATTAACTTCAAAATACATTTCATACCTAATAAACACAAATATTTAGTACTATAGTATGTACAAGTTATAGCCTACCTTTATTGATGACTTGTTGGCGTATGGAAGACAGTGAGGAGGGGGAAGGGGAGGAGGAGAGTACTGTATGGGTTTTTATCTTAAATAATAATAATAATAATAATAATAATAATAATTTATTATTATTATTATCATCACATTACAGTATCTTATTTATAAACAATACAGAAGATTAGATTACAGTGGTTACTTAATTAGTAGGTACAGCACTTGTATCATATACAGTTCAGTGGAACCTCGGTTTTTGAATGTCCGTTTTCAATTTTTTCAGTTCTCGAGCTCAATTTCTTTGAAAACTTCGACTCGGTATTCGAGGTTTGTCTCAGTGCTCGAGTTTGTTGATACACATATGGGCCGACTGAGCATGTGGCACGCTTCAGTTTACCAGTGTCTCCCGCCTAGTGATGACCATGCTTGAATTCTTTGTAAAGGATTTCATTTTTAGGTGCAATTTTGATTTGTGAACATAAAAGTTCCTATTATGTATTACACCATGGGATCCAAGGAAGTCAGTGGTAAAAGTTCAACCTAAGAAAATAGTTGTAGGGATGACAATAGTGGAAAAACAAGAGATCATTCATAGTGAGACAATGTGATATCTCATTACAGACAAGTGTTAAAACAGGGAAAACAAGTGTCTATCGAGAGATTCTTAGTAAGACAAGCAAGCAGTGAGTCACAACCAAGTCCGAGTGGTATGCCTGCAAAACGTAAGAGAGCAGTGATGACATTTCTGGGGTACTCCGTTATAATGGAAGGGGACTCCCCTTCCAAACACTAATGCCTTTCCTCTTCCCCACCTTTCTCATCATCTTCCATACGAAAACAAGAGCTCTTAATAAAACCAGCATTGAATGTAATAAA